CCAAGGTATCAAACAAATATAGACATTTTTATGGGCACCATCCATGTCATCTAAAACACTTATTCCTATTTTTGTTTCTGTTGCTTTTTTATTAATTGAATTTATTGGGGTTATATTGGTTAATTAAATAGGTTTCAAGTGTACAATTCTATAATACATCATCTGTATACTGTATTCTGTGTTCACCACCTATAGTCTAGTCTCCTTCTGTCATCGTCACCATTTATTCTCCCCTTTACCCTCTTCTACCTTCCCCCTCTCCCTCTTCTCTCTGGTAATCACCATACTTATGTCTGGGTCTATGAGTTGTTGTTTTTCTTAATCCCTTCACCTATTTCATCCAGCCCCCACTCCCCACCCCCAGACAGTTCTCAGTCTGTTCTCTGTATCTACGAGTCTGTTTCTATTTTGTTTATTTATTTTTTATTAGCTTCCACATGTAAGTGAAATCATATAGTATTTGTCTTTCTCTAACTGGCTTATTTCATTGCTGCTGTTTTTAAATACAGTCAGGCTTTCTTCAGAAGCAGCTGCATAGTAAGAAGAATAAAACCCTTCATTGTTCAAACCTAAGATTCCAAACGTTCAAATGACACACATCCATACTTTAATATTTTCTTCTTAGTATATCAAATGTATCCAATACAGTATTCATTTATTTTTAGGTATTCTATATACCATTTTATATTTTCTATCAAATAAGCTTTCACCATCATTGATGAAGGAATGATCTCAAATTGGAAGAGGGTTTGACAGATTGGCTCAGTTGTAATAAAAAACAACAACAACACAGTCCCAGAATGGACTGGTAAGTATGTATAGATAGCCAGATCTTGCATAGTAAAGAGCATACCTTTTCACAAGGTGTCTGCCAGAGAAATTCTCCTGTCACAGAGGATGGTGGCATTATTCGATATAAATGTAAACTATATTTTTTGACAACTGTGGAGAGTTGGAATGTTTGACACGACACAAATTATGATGAAGACAATGTCATGGGAATTAAAGTGTACATTTAGTTCCTTAAAGTTGTTTTAGTATGAAAGATCTTTGATTCATATACAAATTTATCCAAAGGAAGCAGTAACTCAAACTCATCAGCTAATATACTAGCTAGAATTCTCTAAGAATAAGGTACTTTGTGAAAGTATCACAAAATAAGCAACCAGAACCAGTTACCCACAGAGCAGCAAGGCAGTTTTGCATCATGCGTGACCGGAAAGAACAATGGTATTGGACTCAGACAGTTTTAGCTTTAATGCTCAGTTCTCCCTCACATTAGCTATAGGATCTTAACAGGCTCGACTGACTTTACCAAGTCTCAGAATCCCCATCTTCAAAATAAAGATTATACTATTTACATTGCATGACTATTGTGAGGAATAGAATTGATACATGGATAAAGCACCTTTACCATGTTTGCCTTACAGTACAGATTCTATGGTATATCTATTCAATGACACCTTGATAATAGTTAAAATCATTTTTTAAATATTTTTATTTATTTCAGAGAGAAAGGAGAGGGAGAGAGAGATAGAAACATCAATGAGAGAGAATCATTGATCGGCTGCATTCTGCACACCCCACACTGGGGATGGAGCCTACAACCTGGGCATGTGCCCTGACCAGAATCGAACCTCGATCTCCTGGTTCATAGGTAGATGCTCAACCACTGAGCAACACTGGCCAGGCTAAAATTATTTTTTATGAAAGCTAATAAGTATCCTGTTTATTCTAATTCCAAAAAACCCACAACTTAATAATTTTACATATGTTAAGTTCATGGTGAAAGATAATGGATCTGAGCCATCCACATACATATTCACCATCTATCCATTCATGCATTTATCCATACATCTATGCAATACTTATTCATTCATTAAAAATATGGGTAAAGTATAAACTATGCCAAGTACTGAGCTAGATCAATCCTATTTAAGCACAGAAAAATAAATGCCATTCATATTTATTAAAGGAATCTTAAAAGAAAGTGGTGATTGAGCTAGAATGGTGGGGATGAGAAAAGTGTGGATAGGGATGTTGCAATTTTGATTTTAATTAATGACATCTGAACCAATATCCTATCCTATATAATAAAAGGCTAATATGCAAATAGACCAAATGGCAGAACAACCGGAACAACCAAACAACCAGTCACTATGATGTGCGCTGACCACCAGGGGGCGTGCGCGGAACATGGCGGGCATCTGCCGCGGTGGGATGGGGGAGCAGATGAGCGGGGGCACCAGACCAAGGCAGGGCACCACTTGCTGTCATCGGGGCCAGCCTCTGGTGGTTACTGAAAATTCTTTACTCCCGCACACCGCAGTCCCACCCAGCGCTCGCACCCACTGCCAGCGCCAGCCCTGCTTGCACCTGCTGCTGGCACCCAGCACTGGTCCCAATTGCTTGGCACCATCAGCGGGTGCAAGCGGTGGCTGCTGACCCTGATCGCCCCTGAGGGCTTCTCCACCTCCCCCTGCTCCTGAGGGGCGATCAGGGCAGCAGCCGCCACTCGCACCCACTGACAGTATTGGCCCTGCTCCCACCCACTGCTGGTGCAGGCCCCAATCACTCCATGCTGTCAGTAGGTGCGAGTGGGGCTGGCGCCTTCAGCACATGGGCGTGGTGGCAGTGGGAGCAGGGCTGCCCACAGAGAGGGAACAGGGGGCCGCAGCAGGAGGGGCCGTGCAGGGGCGTGGAGGATGGGCCGAGACCCACCCCTGTGCCCACTGCAGCCTCGTGGCCCACAGTTCAAGGTGCACAAATTCATGCACTGGGCCCCTAGTGTTAAAATAAAGTTTTTCCAGAAAAGCAAAGAGTTAGAGAAGCTGGCTCCAAAAGTCTCCAGGTGCCCACTGCCTCGTGGCCCACAGTTCAAGGTGCACAAATTCATGCACTGGGCCCCTAGTGTTAAAATAAAGTTTTTCCAGAAAAGCAAAGAGTTAGAGAAGCTGGCTCCAAAAGTCTCCAGAGTGTAGTTGATTAGAAGAATTGAAAGAAGGCTTTTAGAGTTGTCTTGTATGACAAATATAAATTATCTCAATACACGTTCCCACTGAGGCAGAAGCTGCCTCACAAATCTTCTCAACTAACAATCCTCTATCCGCAGAATTACATTGGCAAACAAGATAGAACCTACTTGTGATTTTATTTCCTTTTTTCCTTTTCTAATTTCTTTAAAATTTTTTAACATGTGATTAAATGAGATAGGCAACATATTAGCCCAGAAATAACATAATGACACCACTATAACACAGGCAGTAACAATAAACTTTTGTCAAGTGTGTGATTCAATGAAATTAACAAAGGAAAATTGAGATAGAAGATCAACTATTAAAATGAGGGAAACTGGAGGGCCATGTAAAGAAAAGAACTGTATAGGAAAACATAAAACATAAATATCAATCAATATAAAATGCTATTTGTAAATGCCCAAAGATGGCATGTTCCTAGACTGAGACCACCATTAACAACTTATATTTACCATAATAAACAAGAATACAAATACTCTGCTTCATATCAGAGATAAATCATCCTCCTTCCTGTGTCTTAATCCCATCTAATAATTTCTTAGGAAATTAAATCACTACTTTTAGTCATAATTTCAAATTGTAGGGAGCAATAATTTACTTTGATCCAATCAATACACACTCACATACTAAACATAATACTAGCATTTTGTTTTATTTTTTAATTCATGAATTCTGTACCTTTGATGTATAAGATGATCTGCTTACAGCCGGGAATGCAAATACAAATAAGATACAATCCCTATCCTAAAGAGTTAATAGGGGAGATCAACAAAAATACCTGCGATGGACCTGGTCTTCTAAAAATATGGACTAAATATGCTAGTCCAAAGGAGGGGATGATTTAACTTGAGAAGTCACAGGAGATATCTCGGAAAAACAGTAACATAAGCAGGGTCTTAAAAATGCATATGAGTTTACAAGGTAGTTGTGTGCATACATTATAGTGCTTTTCAGTTTTTAACCTAGACACAGACGACAAAACAAGATGTTATTTTATGTTAAATACTAAAATATGTTGTATCAATTACTATACGTTATTAGAATTCAAGAAAGACCCTAAAAAAGTGTGAGTTATTCATACTGAAGAAAGCTTCTAAAGGAAGAAACTTTGATCTGCGTCTTGGAATGTATGCTGGGACACAGAGAGCACAGAAAGTCCACTGAAAGTTACGTAACATGTAAAACGGAAGAATGACTCACAATCATGGAACAGAGGCGACTGGAACCCACACGCTCCTCCTGTTTCTTACTGTGATTACAAAAGAGCTGACTATTCATATGAAAGCTAACCCTGCCTTAAGCACTAGATCCTATTCTTTTGCCTATTCAAGGACATGGACCCAACAATTTCCTCGCATCAATCCAACACGATTTCTACTCTCTTCTAGGTATCTTCCTCAACTTACATATACATTGTAATTTCTTCCACCAGGCAAAACAAGCCCTATCCTGACCTCATTTCACCCTCCAAGTAACAACATATTCTCCATTACATCAAAACTCTCTGAAAGTCTTACAAGCTCCCTTTTTCAATGCCTCTTTATAGATTCTCTATTGATCCCCTCCAATCAGTTTGTTGTCAACTCTTCATTACAAGTACTATTGTCAAAGCAACCAATGACATTCATTTTTTAATCAAACAGAATGTTTAATCCTTAGATTTCAACATTGTTGAGCTTTCTGCACATTTAACATTTCAACCATTCTCATTGAATACTTTCTTCACTTGGTTTTCAGGACACTACCAGTATATATGCCTTCAGTTGGATAGTAAAAATGACTAAGTTTAAGAAAAGGATGATGTTTTATCCAACCCAGATTGAAATACTTACAAAATAATATTGCTTGGCCTTATCATAAAACTTAATAAAACAGTTCAGATTGATATAAAATAAAACCTCTTTAATCTCTCCCTCAATCCCTTGAGGCACAGCAAGTAGTCTACTATAAGTAGCTAATACATACCTAATTAATGAACATCTGCATTTTACTCGTCATCAATATGTTTTCTCCAGCACAAACCTTCTGAACAAATTAGATATATACTATTAGTAGAAAAGAACCCTAGACATCTTCAGAGAAGACATAAGAAGGCATGGTTGGCTTAAGATTAAACCCAATTTGTTTTGTTTTTTTACTTCACTTGTTTTCCTTTCACTGAAAGTCGAAGTACAGTACCCATAAATTGAAGAGCCAAAGTTGTGACAAAGATAACAGCACACAGTTTTGCAGGCCATTTACTGAATGCCCATCCTGTTCTTATTTGGGGTAGTTAGGGAGTTTGAACAAAATTTCCAGAAATGGAAAACATTCCTAGATATCTCCTCTCCCCAGCTCCCCTTGAAGATGGATGATTATCAATATCTCGCTTTTTTCAGTATGGTCACGCTTCCTCTAATCCTTATTGGGGACCATCCATTTCTCCTTTCTGAAATTGCCACCCCCATTGCTATCAATTGTGCATCAAAGCCCAAATTAGACCCAGTTCCTCATGAAGGCTTCTTAGGTTATTTTAGCCACCATTAGTCTCTCTTGCTGAGCCATTTTAAATATCATTTTCAATCTCAAAAGTAAACTTTGGTTATTAACAGGCTATTTTCTAGATTTCTGTTGCACAAAATTCACAATTAATTACATACAGTCTTGTTCTCAAAATTCATCAATCATTTCATATATCTAAAAGGCTATGGATTGCTTTATGCCATTTAATGCTTTTTAATGGCTATGGATTGCATTATGCCATTTTTGATCTCCACAAAACTTAGTGTGTGTGTATGAAATGCTTACATTAATACATATCCAGCTGTGGCAGCTAAATTTAGCACATCTTTCTGTAACATTAAGTAGAGTACTCTGCAAGACTGCACTGGAGTAGAATACAGCATTTGCCGATTTTAGGACCTCTAGGAAAATAGGGCACATTTTAGCTTCAAATTATGGGCGCATCACCGTATCAAACATCAGAGGCTCTGTCTTCTTAAATTT